AGGATAATAACAAAAAATGAGGAAAATTTCAATGAGATTGTCTATTCCACTAACTAAATAATGGCTGCATGATGGGGAACTAAGCAAATTCGATTGCTTTGAGTCAAGCCAGGAAGCTCAAACACTGTTTTATCATCCAAGCCTTTGGTCAATTGTCACTTTGATTTGTCAAAGATTTAAATCTCTTCATATTGACTTAACATTTCCCTGCAATTTCAGCTATAAATATGACTCTGTGGGAAGTGTCTTGAAGTGTTTGTGTCATCAGGCATTGCTTTTGTGTGTGTGAGAATGTACATGCAGCCTGGCCAATGGATTTCTATAAATCAATGAGGATTAACTTTCATAGGATAGCTGCAAACTTTTTTCTTTAAAGCCGTGTTTAATTGTATGTTTTCTCTAAACAAAATATAAACTGCTAATATGAATGAATAATTGAATATGTTGAGTGCATATGAAGTTATATTTTTAATAATTTTTAAATTTCTTACTAGAATTTTTGGAAAATTACCACAGTGTGATGATGAGAAAATTCTCAAACTGATTTAGCATATAATTTGTATAGAATCACTGAGCTTATGTACCGCTTTAATACAGTTGTTCTATTAACGTTGTATTTTCTATATTTCATATCCACCTACAAGACTATTTATACTTAACTAACCGTAGAGCAAAGTACAGTTTTGCAATGGTGGCATGATGCTCTTCTAAACTCATAAATATACATAATTGTTGGGAAATGCAAAATTATCTTTTAGTATATTTTGGAATTTTCCAAATGACACAAAAATACTTAGTCAATAAAGTCTATTAAGTTTTAGTAAAAAGGGCAAGATTTTGGCATTTAATCCGTGATACATGCTCTAACATCCTTTTCCAAAATACAACACCATGGAAGCTCCACTCTAAATAAATGTATTCAAAAATTAGATGACACTATTACCTAATAGTATTAGTGTATTATGGTCTGATGCTGTTCAGGAGGCTAACCTACCATGCTTTGTGATCCTTATAAACTACATCTCGCAGAAGCTAAATTTTCAGAAAATTAAGGACGCCTTCTCCTTTTAAAATCCCACTGTGGGGCCACAGGATGGAGTACTTATTCCAGAAAAAACAGGTCAAGAATTTCAGTGTTCTGACTATTTTGGAGCAGCTAGCTCACTTGCGAGGTGGATGCTCTTTTGATACCTGAAGAAACTGAGAAGCAAGTCTTCTTACTACTGCAGAGTAAGTGCACTCTCCATAAAACAAAATCTAATTATGAGAAAAGAGGACCATCAGTGAATCTCACAGAAGTTCTACAACAGTAGTTGAGGAACTGTGCCCAGAGAGAAACATACAAGTAAAAATCATACCAAAATTTTATTTGAAAAAGAGAGGGATTTGAATTTAACTGAACCTAAATCTGAACAGACATTGCCAATTTTACATGCCACTTTTTTGGAGGTCATGCAGCTGAGCTGTGTATTATTAATGTCCCAATAGCTTTTCTATAGCAGGGATATCTGACAGACCCTGCTTAAGAAATTAAGAAGCTGTTCTACAGGAAAATTGATGCTTTCACTTTCTTTAATGTTGTAGCATTATCTGTAAGTCTACCTATTCTTAGAAAGAGAAGCTTTAATCTTATATTGTATTTATGTGTATAAGTATTTTGTCTGTCTGTCTGTATGTATGTATGTATGTGTTCCATGTGCATATCTACTTTTTGTATAGGACAAAGAGGGCAGCAGTTGCCCTGGAAGTGGAGTTACAGACTGTTTAGAATCGCTATATTTGTGCTGGGAATCTGAACCTCTATCCTCTACAAGGGCAACAAGTACTCTTAACCTCTAAAACATCTTACCAGCCCAGGAGTTTTCTAGTAGTAGTGTGTCCTTAAATGTAAAGAACTTGTGATACCTGGTTAACTCCAGATAACAGCAACACATGCATCAGCGAAACAGTTTACCATGCAATTATTAACTACCCAGATGCCTGCTCATCTGAAATGTCTCTTCTAAGATCCCTGTATAAACTCTGTGCCTGTGACATCTACTTTTTGGAGAAAGATATTAGGATTTAATATAGCCCAGACTGGTTTAAGTTTTAATATGTAACCATGGATGACCTTGAATTCCTAATATTCCTGGTACCACTTTCAAAATGGTGGTATTGCAGTTATGTGACAAAGGATTTGTGATGGTGATTGAATCATACAGAAACAAGGAAACAATTCCATCCAAATATGAACCAGTAAGGTTAATTCGAGAGCTAAACATGGAAGAAGAAAACTCTCAACAATATTTAAGTGTCTATATGTTATCCTTCAAGATGGATAGAACCTTGTGAGTTCTTCCCCCTATACCATTAATGTTAACAAACATTAACTATAAATACTTGGGGGATAGTGTAGGCTTCTTGGGGGCTTTATCTCACCTACTGACACTAAGTTATTAGGCCTAATCTTGTGTAGGTCTCTTGCAGATAATCAGTATTACTGATAGTTCAAGGCAAGTAGCTATAACATGTTCTAAATACAGTGATTCACAATAATAAGAACTTCTAAAACTATTGTATTCCCTGGATGAATGCACATGCTTATTAGTGTAGCGCCTTCTGAGGCGAATCATCAAAACCATCACACTTAATTGGGAAAGGTTGATATCAGTAACATAACCCAGGCAATCCAAAACACAAAAAAAAACATGCAAAAAGTCCTAAATATGGAATAATGTACATTTTATTGGTAAGTTATCATGTTGCCTGTGCTCATTGAAAAGCCCCTTGTTAGATAGCATTACCTTTCTGTTAGAGTTGGTTAATATTTGGAAACCTCATCAGCCTAGAGCACTCTACTTTGTCCAGGGACTTTCTCTGTTTGCATCTACAGCTTACTGCCTTCTCCTGTCATTGTAATGGGATGTTTTGTGGATTTGCTAGCCATATTTTTACTTTACCAGTTATACTTTTAACTTTGGTTTGTTGTATACTTCAAAGTAGCTTCCATAAATTAGTTAAAAGACAGGAAAATTAAATAAATGAAGAAAATTGAAAGTATGAAGTTCTTGTATTGTCAAGTACAAAGTATCTACAAAGCAATAGAAATAAAAGAGAATTGACTGTAATGAAATAATGGAAGGAAACTGCAAATTTCATGAAAAGCAATCTAGAGATCTTAGATGGCAAATGAGTTCAGTGTAGTCCAAACACAAAGAGAAATGTGTCAATACCTATAACAATAAAATAATTTAAGCTCAAGAAAAAAATCAAATAATGACACCAATTTTGCGGACTGGAGAAATGGCTCAAGAGTTAATTGGTTAGTCCCTAGCACCCATGTGAGAGAGCCTAACAACTGCATGTCACAATGGAATGAGCTCTTTTGACCTCCATGGTTCACATGCACTAACATGCACATATCCACACACACACACATAAATAAAAATAAATCTTAAAATAGCATACTGAATACTCATGTAAAGTTCTTTGATTTTTATTTACTCACCTCTTTTAGAAAGGATTAAATTATAGGTGATGATGAAAATAACACTTTATGTTTATGAAGTATATAAGTAAAATATATAAAGAGAATAGCAAATGCAACATTATAAATTATAGAGCAAGGAATAGTATTTGCATATATGTCTGAAATTAGAAACTTACTGCAAATTATAAGTATATGCTGATAAAGAGACTTAAATTTTAGAGTGATAATCAAGGAAATAATTGAGAGTCTAGCAAAATCATTTATAATAGATCAATTTAATTTAAATTTTAAAAATTAGTGCCTCAAAACACACTACTAAGAATAAAGAAATACAAATAGAAAATATAAACTATTCACATCTTGATAATGATATATAAGAAACTTAAATATCAACAATAAAATAATTAAATAGCCCCAGTAAAAATAGATGAATGAATTTATGTGCTTTTCTGCAAAATATATTCATTTAACACTACATTTATCTTTTCTACCATTTGGTATTGTGAGAAAAAGAAATTATCTTCACAATGACATTTCACATTTGTGATCATAAAAATAATAGAAAATAATACAGTCAGGCAGTGGTGGTGCAAGCCTTTAATCCCACCACTAGGGAGGCAGAGACAGGTGGATCTCTGTGAGCTGGAGACCAGCCTGGTCTACATAGTGAGTTTTAGGATAACGAGAGCTGTATCACAGAGAAACCCATCTTAAAAATAAACATAGTAAAGAAAAAAATAATGTTGGCTGTGATTGTTAATCTCAATTGCACCTTCGTGAGATCCAGATAATTTGGAAAACGATGCTCTAGGCCCGTTATTTTGATTAGGTTAATTGAGGTGGGATGATCCAACCATAGTTGGTTACATCATTCCCAGTGCTGAGATTCTGGACTCTTTTAAAAGGATTGAAAATAATCTTGAGTACAGGCATTTATTCCACACTCTTGAATATTATTCAACTGGGTAAAGGATGGAACAAATGAATCATATATGAAAGCGGATAAACTCTTTTCCTGACTGAATGAAATCTGTTGAATAAAGACCACGTATTTTATTGTTCTACTTATATAAAATTTGTAGAAGTCCACAGACACTGAAAATAGATCTGTACTTTCCTTGTTCTGGATGATAATAGGTTTGGAGTCAAGTGGAAGGCTTACTAACTATTATTGTACTGTGTTTCTTTTGGAGTAAATAGTTATGTTCTAACATTAGTTATAGTGAATTGTACACAACTGTGAACATACTAAAATATTCTAATTGTAGAATTAAATGTTTATTTGTTTACATGATAGTTCCAAAAGAAGCAGGTAAATTACCATGAACTTTCCTGAAGCTGCAGAGACAGTTTAGCAGTTAAGGTTACCTACTTCTTTTGTGAAGGAGCTGAATTCTGTTCCCATCTCCCTATAGTGGGAAATTACCAATATGGAGTCAGGTAAAAATATAAGGGTATTTAATAGGGAAAAGCCTTACTTACAGAGCGACCTAGCCAGCCGGCATGGCAGCAGTGTGTCCAGCAAGTACCAAAGTGAAACCGAAAGACCCCACGCCCGCACAAGCGTGGTCAGGCACACCTGTAGCCAGCCCCTAAGTAGGCGTGGCTACAGCTTCCCCTACAATTTCCCTTTTACTCTAAAAGAGGATTAAAACTTAACAGTTTAAAGTATCCAAAAGTAACAATCATAAAGGTAAAATATAAGAAGATACAACAATCTGCTTATGTCACATGATAACTATCTATTTTAACTAAACCCTAAAGTCATCTGAAAGAGGTGTCCAAGCCTGAACACCTCCTTCCAATCCAAACCATAAACAATAGGAAACTATCCCTACCTAGGCACCTCCCATGTGGTATCTGAGAACTATTTGTAAATAAAGTTTCAAAGGGATCTGACACCCTCTTCTGGCATCTGCAGACACTACCCATCCATGTGGCACACAGGGATACATAGAGGCAAAACACACATACATAAACTTAGAAATAATAATTAAAAGAATGAACTTTCCTTCCCGTAGGTTTTAGAGATAACATGGCTTATGGATACTTAGATTTCAAGATAAAATTGTGGAATCTTTTCCTCCTCTTTGGAATACACTGTTGTAGCAATGGTAGGAAATAAACATACTTGCAAATTTGAAGAGGTTCAGGCATAGATTGGTGAATTACCTAATATTTAGGCCATATGACAATAATAATTTTTTTATGTTGGGCAGTGCTTCTTCATTACTAATTGAAACTTTTCAGAACTTAATTTTGTCACAATATAAAAATTATTTCCAAGTGTTTATAGTAATTGTCCACCATGTGAATTATATCCTTTAAAGATCTGAAGATGTAAAGAAGACACTCTAGTTCCAAAACAATAAAGCTATAACATATATTTATGTTAAATGACTAATAGAATAGACATGCTCATAATACATGTGAATGATAAAGGATTATTCATTTAAGGACCTATATTTAAGAACCAGAAAGAACCACAATACTATCAAGATTGGGGAAAGTATCTGACATAATAAAATAGACTTAAAAATACAATTGCTATTGTTTAAACAATACAAATTGTGAAGCCAATTTATCTTTACAATGAAAATAAATCAGTATGGATTCGTGTTTAAGTAGGAGAGTTATAGCTCTTCTAATGTTGGAACAAAATTGTTTATCAAAAGATATTCCTGCAAAATTATCTACCACCTGCTTCAGGGTGGGATGATTAGGAAATTATAGAATCATTGACCGTTTTAACCACTACTTGTAAGAAAACCTTGTATTGATTTTTGTTTCAGTAGAATCTTTCTCTTGTTTTAAAAAAGCAAATGTGGTCATAAAGAGGATGGTTTGGTGAAAAACATATTGAGTTAGTAAGAATTTATCTTATAGTCTACACAAGAAGCCACATATTTCAAATAGTTAGAAAGCAGTGCCACATTATAATAAAACTATGTTGAAGTTATTTAATTTGGGATCATTTCAAAGTCAAATGAAAAACATTGAAAGTCTTACCACAGATGTGAGGATTCTGTTTCTGTGTAAAAAGGTACAGAAAACTTGACAAGACTTCTATTAGTAGATGCTTTCTTTATATAAATCCATTGCTTAATTTGAGAGATTATATACATCAAGTGGTTTGAACCAAGAGAAAACATTTGGATGGGTTTTCATTTCTTTAAAACTGCAGTTTGAGACCTGTTGTGCCAGAACAAAGTGTACTTTTATCTGTTTCTGGAGCATGAAACTGTTTGCAGCAATCTCTAAAAGCCAAAGAAGCATTCATGAAAAGTGGCTGACAAATGAGAAGCTCAAGTTGTTTACTACATGAATATAATGGTTAGAAAATGTTGTTTTTCAGATTTCTCTGTGACATCTTGTTCCTAACCCATTATTTTCCAGATAATCATAGTATTGTCTGAATCAGAAGACAAATCTTGAAAAAAATTGTGTACATTTGTATTTTGGGTTGTGCTAGACAACAGTCCTACTGTTTAAAATTACTATATATATAAAATAGTAAGTTTTAATATGTGTACATTTACATACATATGTGTATATAGGATATATTTGATATATATCTATTCAAATTTCTATATTTGTATGGCCAAAATTAACACTTTCTTATAACAGGTGAGAGATTTTATCTGACTTTGGGGTTTTATAATTAATTGGACTTAAAGTTTTCTTTCATTACCTATATAGGTTAAACATTGAAACTCTCTTAAATATGTAGTTACAACACAATATGATAGTAGTTGATTTTCAATACATCACAAATTCACCTAAACATGTATGTAGCTAACAAAGCATTTATATGTGGAATTCTTGTTCATTAAATATATTTAATATTCTTTCCATTTAATTTTATTTTCAGACTGCAAATATTTCTTATGTTTAAAGCTGTATGTTTAATATTAACTATAAACAGAAACTACTTTGTGCAATATTTGCAATTTTCATTAGTCAGAAAAAGATATTTGGGGTTGTGTATGCAATTCAGTTGAAAGAAAGCTTGTTTAGCTAGTGTAACACTTGGATTACAATTCTTGCACCACACAAAACATGAGCAGTGACACATGCCTTCAATCCCATCATTCTAACGACAAACAGGAATTTCAGAAGTTCAAACAAATTTTAAGCTACATAGTGAGTTCCAGGCCAGTCTTGCATATGGAAGAACATGTATCAAAGCAATCAATCCAGCAAACAAACAGACAAACAAAAACTAAGTAAATGTACTAAAATTTATTTTCAGTTGTGGATAATTGTATCAGAGTAATAATTTGGTGATGATTTCTATACTGTTAAAATTACTTGTCAAAACTTGGTCATTCTTAAAACATAAATGTTGTTCATATATTGTACAAATTATTGTGACCTTTAAATGATATGTCTATCATCAAATAAACATTCATAATAATGAAAGGAATCCACATAAATATCCTTTTGATTATATTCTTGTCATACTTTTATTATAGTTTAAAATAAATAATTCTAAATATTCAGTGTTGATTTGTTATTTTCAATATTACTTAGAAAGAAAACCACCACCTTAAATGAATTTATGAAAAGGAAATTTTAAATATATAGCACTGTAACTTTGTAAATCATCTTTAAGGATTTATATAGGAAAAAAACATGTTCAAAGATGCTAATAAATGGCAAGAAAATAGTATCTTGTTCAACAAAGGGAACATTTTCACTTTTTATTTAATAACTTTATTAACAAAGACCTGGGTTACAATATATCAACTTAAAAAGAAGAAAGACATATTCATTTATGTGAGGATTCAGTACATGGCTACCTGGCCTTACTGCTTTGTTCATTTGTTATTTCAGTATATCTTAGTATAAATATAAGGAAAAGGAGGCATTTGAACTGAATGAATTCAAGAAATAGTAAGGGGGAAGGAATCCATCTGCCCTCTACGGGCATGATCCTCAAGACCTGAATTCTTTCAAGTCATTCTGTGTTCTAAAGCTTTTCCAGTCTCCCCAAAGTGTCACAGAGTGAGAACCAAAACATTATAATATGGACTACCATGTGACACCTAAAATTCTGAATAGCCACAATGTTATATTTTCTTCATTACAGTTGGAGGGAAACACAGCTAAGCTAATATTTCTATCATTATACTGATAATATTAAATGCAAATGTATATTAAAGATTAAATAACAATATACTTGGATAATGCCTACTATTACTTATTAGTCATTATTTCATATCAATAAAGTTTTTTTTTGAAAAAAAAAGCCTTTGCAAATTTTATAGCCACATCATAATTTGGGTGTTTTGAACTTCTAGATTAAATCATCATGTCCTTAAAACAAGAGAGATATCATATCTCAAGTTTATAAATTATTATAGCTTGTATCAGTAGTCAAATATTTTCCCTTGGCCCATTGTTCTGATTTGTGATATTAAGACTGAATTCCATAAGCAAACGAAATATTAGAAATGAATGTCTTTTAGTTTCTGGATATTTCTAGCACTTTGGAGTATTTGCTACTGGAGAGATTGTTCTGATCTCTATTTCTGACAGCAAATGGAGTTTGCATATCTCTGTGCCCAAATTCTTCTTTTAAAACCAAGCAGCCAGCAAGAGTGTTGGTGCATGACTGTAATCTGAGCACTGACAGAGGAAGGCAGAGCCAGGCAGATCTCTGAGTTCAATGCCAGCCTAGCCTACACAGTGAGTTCCAGGACAGCCAGGGCTACACAGAGAAATTTTGTGTTGAAAAAACAAAAAAAAAAATTAAACAAAATTAGCACCTTCTGAGTTTGAGACCTTCCCCAGTCTCTTTTTGGTGAATATAATTCAGCTTGCAATATTATTTCTGCTCATTATCATGAAATATGACATGTTATATACAAAATGCACTTGCTCATTGTGAATCTCCCAAATGCTAAAAACAAACTAAAATGTCTAGACAAGGAGGCAAGAGGACCCTGAATGAGAGGATCCCCTTCCCTCAAATGCCTGAGTATTAGGGTTAGAGACATGCAAGATCAAGTACAGAACATATCTCCCAAATCTTTAACCTATTTCAGGCTTAAGTCTAGTGTGATATAAATAAAGCAGCCCAACTAGCCTCACAGCTCAGTTCCCAAATTATATTAGCTAAGTAAGATGTTTAGAATGGTATATTCAGGAACAAAATGTATTGGTTTATAGAAAGACTTGTCAAACTCAGAAATAAATCATTTGCCTCTAAAATGCAATGGCGGAATATACATAAAGCAGACATTCCAATTCCAAAATGAAGATAGAAAGGAAACAGGAGGAAATGGAAGGGAGAGGGGGATGGGAGGATAGGGGAGGGATTGGAGAAGAAGGGAGGGAGGGGAGGGGTGGGGAAAGGAGTGTTCCTGTATTTTCTTTAGTCCATTTTGGTGGTATTTCTTCTTAACTAGTAGAGTGAATTCATGCTTCATCTTTAGAATAAGTTTGTCCAGCCACTCCCTTGGTCCTCTGCCCTTTGTATACTTTGTAATACAAAGGCAATGACAATTTTCCAAATGGTGGTTTTCAT